ACGTTCCCTGGTTGCCTCGTTTTCGTTTCGAGGTCTGTGCGTGATCGTCGCTCGTTCCAATCCCGTGTTTCGCTAAAACACATCCCCCACCACCACCGCCGCCCCTGTTTACGTAGCGAGGAGAGTTTGCAGAAATTTAATAGTTTTCGATGTCGTTAATTCTAGTTGTTCAAAGTTCCTCGCTCCTACTTTCTTTGATCGGATTTTGCGACTCGTTTAATGGGGATCGCGCGCCCGAATTAAAACGAATAGCAGAACAAAGCTGCCTTTCAAATTCCAATCGATGATACGACGCAGTTAGTGGATCCAGTATAAATACACAGAGAAAGAAACGCTTCATAACAATAATTAAAGCCAGAATCCTACCATCTTGGGATAATCTGTAGCATCGAACGATTTGTATATCGTTTTAATTGATAAAATTAAGATTGATTGAGTCAGTTTTGAGAATATAGAATATAGAAGAATATAGAATATAGAGAATATAGAAGAATGTAGTAACAAAGTGGAAGTAATATACATATATGCTTTAAATGATCAAGATCGATTTTATTGAGTAAAAATATAGCAGTGGAATAATTAGAATTTTTAAGATGGAATTTATAGTCATTTAAGGCTAATTTATCTTAAAATTTATTCTTTCTTTTATTTTTCTTAAAAATATATTAGTAAAATAAAAGTAATATACACATATGCTTCAAATTATCAGGATCGGTTTTATTGAGTAAGGATATAGCAGTGAAATAATTAAAATTTTAAGATGGAATTTATAGCCATTTAAGGCTAATTTATCTTAAAATTTATTCTTTCTTTTATTTTTCTTAAGAATATATTAGTAAAGTGAAAGTAATATACATATATGCTTTAAATGATCAAGATCGATTTTATTGAGTAGAGATATAGCAATGGAATAATTAGAATTTTAAGATGGAATTTATAGTCATTTAAGGCTAATTTATCTTAAAATTTATTCTTTCTTTATCGTAAATAAATGAAAAGAAATAGATCATAAATCGATATATTATATTTTCTTATTTCGTTTTCGTAAAGTATTTTGTGTTAAAAAGAAAAAGAAACATCCTACTTTCGAAATCCTGAAAATTTCAGGTATGGCATTTTTCCTTCTGGATTACGTTTCGAACGATCTTTCAAAGTTATCTCAACGTTCATTCCAATATAGCCTGTATTCCGTCCCTCTCCATTTCTTCCATTACATATCCACGTTTTTTTTTAACAATATACGACATCCTCTCTCGTATTTAAGGATTCAATGGTGCATTATTCGGTTTTCCTGGGATCGGTCGTTGGAAAAAGGAAAAAGAAAAAAAAAAAAGATAGAAAGAAAAGGAGAAGTGGGAGGAACAAAAGACGTTCGAATGATCGGAAGGAGCGTGTTTCACCGCGTTCACAAAGAGCAGACTGCTCGAAGGGGTTGAATACTTAAGGCGTACAGGGTTGGAATTTAATAAAGAAAATCCACCGTTGGAGATCGACAACAGGAATGCAGGAATTATTTTGTTATTACATTCTGCTTTGCCTGTTGTTCTTCTTGAAAAAAAAAAGAAAAAAAAGAAAAGAAAAAAAGAAGTAGTTCGAAATGCGATTCAATCCAGAGTCGTTCACCACTTTCGATGACTGAGAAACTCGTTTTGCAGTTGTTTGAAATCTGAATCAAATTCGAGGAAATTTCTCGATGATGATTCGTACATTGAATACGAAATTTCGGAAATTTCACCGTATGGAAAAATGGAAAATTTAAACTTTTCTGATCCGCGTAATATAGTTTTCAGCCGAGAGATACGTATTAAAATGAGACCAAGAGGAAAAAGAAGGAGAGGAAGATTAAAAAGTTTGAAGCGAAAGAGAGATATATAAGGGATGCAGGAAAAGAAAAAATAAAGGAAAAACGAGGATGAGGCGAAATTCTTGGAAACTACTCGAAACAAAGAGAAGAGAGAATATTTTATGCTTGAAAACTTGGAAAAATTCAACCTGACCTTCAACCATTAAAAAGATCTAATAAAAATTACCAAAAATAATAATTAAACTTAAATCTTACAAATCTTAATTTTCTTACAAATTTTCTTCAAATTTTCACGAAGAAAAATACAAAAAATATACATACACACACACAGATATATATATCTAAATTTTCACGAAGAAAAATACAAAAAATATACATACACACACAGACACATATATATATATAAACAAGATGGAAAAAGAAATCTCAGCAGAGAAAGAGAGAGAGAGAGAAAGAGAAGAAAAGAAGTGGATCCTCGTTACAATCGAAGCCGTATATCGTTTTTAATATGGATAACGTAATTGAAGCTCGAGCTTTAACCCGAGTATATGCTGAGTTTCTTTTTTTTTTTTTTTTTAAGAGGGAGGGAGCGGGAAAAAAAATCGTCTGTTTTCCTTTTCATCCCGCTTCTTTTCCGCTGAATTTCCCCGTGTCCCAAGTGTGTTTACCCGAGCTGAACTTCAGATATTCCATTATGGCGGCTACTGTGCTCCGAGGCAAATGTAAAAATGCGTTCCATGGCTGTTTCCTCCTTTTCCATCTCGAATCGAGCTGGAATCTCGAACTTGCTCCGCTGGATTGTTCGACAGATTTTTCCCTCCCTTTCGTTCTCTCTTTTTTCAAGAACGGCTAAGAAAATTATTACTGCAGGGGGTTGTCGAGTGACTTTTTGCTTTCCTTTTCTTCTTCTTCTTCTTCTTCTTCTTCTTCTTCTTCTTTTTTTTTAAATAAAAGTTAGCTAATGTAATGAAATACACGAAAATTAAGTCAAATAGAGTTAGAACGTTAAGTTTGGATTCTGATACCTGGAGAAAAAAATGGGAAAATCTTTATTATGCAAATTATCTTTGATGCGAGATTAAATATTAATTAGTGATTTGCAATATTAATTTTTTCTTTAAACTCGATGTAAAATTTTTCTCAGTAATTTTATATACCTGGGATTTTTTTTAAAATTGTATTACTTGTCATTAAATTTCAGAATCTTTTATTTATTTATTTTCTTTTCATCGAAACTACTTTTACATTGTTAATTTTTTATCCAATTACCTAGTAAAGATTCTTCTATGGAAATATAATCAGTGGTCTTCAAAGATATCTTTAAAAATATCTGCTGGAAGATTAATTTTTCTTATATTTTTTTTTTCTTTCTTATGTAAAAAAAAAGAAAAAAAAAAGGAAGGGGGAGAGAGGGAGAAAAAGGTATCCCCTGTTCTGGATTTTTACAGAGCTCAAAGTGAAATGTCTCGTTTCAAGGGAAAAATAGAGAATGCTTAAAGAAGGAGAAAGGGAAGAATGAAAAAGTGTTCTCCGAGACATTTTAACGAGAAATCGATATCTCTACTTTTAGCAATGAAGTACAATTAATTATTTATCATTTTTAAAAACACACTCTTCTCTCCTTTTGAATTTCAATCGTGAAAGAAATTTATAGTTTCTTTGTTTCCCAAATTGATTGTTACTTAGACAGTTACTAATATTGTAGTTATATTTCATATAGATTTTACAATATTACAATACACATGATAAGAATTTCTTATTTTTAAAAATTTTAAATTATTTTAAATTAAATATAACGTGATAAATATAACGCGATATATATGAATAATGTTAATATTTAAGTCTGTCTTTTATGAAAATTTTGAAAAATTTTTTCTTTGAAAAAAAACTTCAATTTTGCATTAAATTTTAATAAACCAATTTGAAATCAATCAATACAAACATTTTCCAGATGAAACCAATCTAATATGCAAATATTATACAATTTCGAATTAACAATAATTAATATACTACACACACTCATCCTCTAATTTCATTTCCAGTTATTAATATCTATTAATTTAACAATTAATCATTTCATTTCTATCAACTCTATCCATACCATTAACGCATGTACACAATCTTTCCCATCCATTATAATAATTTCAACATTGATTTCCCCCTCACGACCACTATCGTTAATAGTTTACCTTTAACACCGTTTATATTTATTTCTCAATTTCCATTTCCCAATTTCCTCAATTTTCTTTTGAATCGCTCTCTTGGTTTCCTTTTATTTAAAAAAAAAAAAAAAAAAAAACACTTGAGACTAAAAAAAAAAAAAAAAAAAAAAAAAGAAAAAAGGATCGAAATGTTGACGTTTCATTGGCTTGCAAAGTAGTTTCTATTGTTCCCAGCAAATATTTAAATTGTTATATCTGTGGTCGGTGGAGGAAATCTCGCTTGGATGTAACATCGACGGAAGAATACGCGGAAATTCAATTACAGAGATAATTCTGCATTAATATTTGGATTCCACGGGGCGACGAGTTTTCCTCTTTCTCCTTCTCTCTCTTCCTCTTTCTTCCTTTTTCACTCACGCACACGCACACATACACACGTTCGATTTCAAAACTCGTCCTTTTTTTCGCTTTATCTTCGACGATAATTGATAATCGTCCACGAAAGAGGAGGAATTTCTTCCCTCTTTGTTTCCGTAAATGTTTCAGATTCGAAGGGATCTCGCGATTTTTCAAAGAATCCTCCATCATTAATCATTTATCGATCATTGTGGAAATTATTTTACCTCCAGGAATTTTTGAAGAATTATTATTCTTCGCGTGAATCTTCCGTGCAAAAGGAATTAAATTGGATCAAGTTGTATTAAAGCCAACTGTTGGGAAAAATTATTATGCGCCATCCTTACGTCGTAAAAACGTTTTATTTGTTATTAAGTCTTGTTAAATTTATTTATTTATCTGACGATCATCTTCTTCTCTTTTCCTTCTCTTTTATATATATGTATAATTTTTTTTATTTAACATTCGATCAAACGAGAAACGTTAATATATTAAGATTAAATAGTTAAAAAAAAATTATATAAATAATTAAAAAAACCTCGCAAGGGATATTATAATCAATTTATTTATCAAGGAACGATCATTGACCAATTTCCAATTTACTTTTCTGACCGTGTCCTCTCCATTTTGTGTTGCAGGCGTTCCTGGAAATGGCGGATGAAAATGCTGCAGCGACGATGGTAAATTATTATGCCTCGTGCATGGCCCAGCTCCGTGGCAGAGCGGTCTACGTTCAATTCAGTAACCATCGTGAACTCAAAACGGATCAAACGCACACCAACAATGCGGTAAGTGACTCATCATCGATATTCCTGTTTGTTAATTATTTAATTGTGGCTTTGAAATTTTTTTAAAAAATTGAAAATTATATTCCAAAAATTATATTCAAATTTAGAATATTATTGAGAATATTGATCTTGAGACGAGGAATTGATTCAAGAAAGATACTTTTTATTTAATTAATCTCCTTACAAATTTCTTTCTTAACTTATATATATGTTATAGCTATGTGTTTTTTTTTTTTTACAAAATTATTTATTATTTATTATTCTCCCGAGAAAGAAGTGATATCGCTTCTATCTTTCTCTCAATCACAATCGTAAGAAAAAATAATTTTCGTTCGTAACAAAAGAAAAAATATTCAAAATAAAAAATATTCTTAAAAATATTCAAAAATATAATCTCAACTCCGTTTTTTTAAATTTCCAAAATTCTATATATTTTACATACCGTTACGCGCCAATTTGAAGAAATAAATTTGCGACAGTGCACTTTCCAAATATCGTACGAAAAAAAAAAAAAGAAAAAAAGAAAAGAAAGAAATTCAAAAACAAGTCACTCTAAAAATCCACAATAAAACGAATTTTACCGCGCATTAGTGCAAAGTTCAAAGAAAAACCGGTCTTTCCACGCAATTTTTTCTTCCTACCGTTCAAGAAGCGTATTCAACGCTATCTTCCAACCGAAATTACTATTAAGGAGCTTCAGGGGAAAGAGGCTGAAGTCTGAAAAACATACTACCCTGCGTGGTTTTCCTCTGGCCAAGGGCTGTTTGCCCCCTCCTCCTACGTGACGACTGAATATGCGAGAACCGGACATACGCGATAATTTGCAGGCAAACGAAGAAAGCGCTCTTTGGATCCCTCCCCTTCCTCTTCTCTCCCCTCTTATATATTCACTTATTGCGAAGGCTGTTCGCGCAATTACTTTTTAACGAGTGGTCGCGATATTTCACCCTGCTGTATTTTCACCATTTTCTATCGTGGACAAAGACGCGCGAAATTAGAGAATTCTAAAGGATGCTTCGCCATTTTCTTTTTTTCGTGCAATATTGGATTGGAAAGATATTAAAAGAACGGTATGATATATAGAACGGTAAAATATATAGAATTTTGGAAATTTAAAGAAAGGGAGTTGAGATTATGTTTTTGAATATTTTTAAGGCTTCTTTTGTTACGAACGAAAAGATTTATGAAAGTAATCGAATTAATGAAATGTTGAAAAGAAAATGATATCTTTGTCTTTTTGAAAATTATAATATAAATTAAATATAGAGTAATATTAGATAATATTAGATGTATAGAATTTTGGAAATTTAAAGAAAGGGAGTTGAGATTATGTTTTTGAATATTTTTAAGATTTAAGAACGAAAAGATTTCTGAAAGTAATTGAATTAATGAAATGTTAAAAACAAAATGATCTTTGTCTTTTCGAAAATTATAATTATTGGAAAATGGGTATTTAAAAATAGAATAAATAGAATTAAATATAGAGTAATATTAGAACAGATATATAGAATTTTGGAAATTTAAAGAAAGGGAGTTGAGATTATGTTTTTGAATATTTTTAAGGTTTCTTTTGTTACGAACGAAAAGATTTATGAAAGTAATCGAATTAATGAAATGTTGAAAAGAAAATGATATCTTTGTCTTTTTGAAAATTATAATATAAATTAAATATAGAGTAATATTAGATGTATAGAATTTTGGAAATTTAAAGAAAGGGAGTTGAGATTATGTTTTTGAATATTTTTAAGATTTACGAACGAAAAGATTTCTAAAAGCAATCGAATTAATGAAATGTTGAAAAGAAAATGGTGATGTATTTTTGTCTTTTCGAAAATTATAATTATTGGAAGATGAGTATGTAAATTAGAATAAATAGAATTAAATATAGAGTAATATTAGATATATAGAATTTTGGAAATTTAAAGAAAGGGAGTTGAGATTATGTTTTTGAATATTTTTAAGATTTCTTTTGTTACGAACGAAAAGATTTCTAAAAGCAATCGAATTAATGAAATATATATATATATAACTCTTCTTTTGAAAAGAAAATGGCGATATCTTTGCCTCTTTGAAAACTAATTTGAATTCTAATTTGAATTTCCTAATATTTCGCACAATTGTAACTCGACATTAAATTTGACCAATAAAACTTGTATCTTAGATCTAATTTTATTCTAAAATGTTAAGATGGCCGTCTGCCTCGGTTTCGATAATATTCGGTTTGCGGGTACATTTATGCTTCGATTATCGATATCTTGGCCGCTGTATCTCATTGGAAGCGCGTAATCGAAAGCTTTACGCGACAATGTCGAGCCAGTATCTCCTCTCAAAGCCTGTGAAACGCGTTTTCGGGATTCAGATTGTCTTCCTTCCATCCCGCCCCATCCACGATATCATTCGATGAACGTGATTAATTAACGTGTCCCATTCGATGCAAATGTTGGCTTCGAAGAATTTTATCGAGAGATTTACGGTGGCGGGAAATTGGCATTGGATTTTTACGATAAATTTCCCCATCTCGATCGTTCCACTGAATATTTTCCACTTGTTTGAATTTGAATAGAACAGGCGAAATGATCGTAAAGTTCTTAATAAATCTTCACTTTGAACACTTTTTTTTAAAAAATATTATTCCACGGTTGTTGTCCTCGATGAATGGAAAAATTATCTTTCGAAATTTGTTTTGTCATTGAATTTATGGAATTTCTTTCGCGCGATTCGAAGAATAATTTCTTAATCTTTTTCAAGTACAAGTGACAACTTCTTTTCATGGATATCAAGATTTTAAGGAATCAAAAATGCTCGAGAATTCGTAGAATAAAATCGACACAAATAATGTCTACAAAGTGTAAGCATAAAATTCAGATTTTCAAAATTTTCTTTTTACCAAGAACTGATTGATGTCCGATCGTGCGCTTAGATATTGAAATTCGGATGAAGATTCTTATCGAACGGTTTCGAATCGAATTACTATTTAATAATTACTGTAATTGTGCAATCAAAATATAAATTTATATTTTAATTTATATTATAAATTATATATATTTATTTTAAAAATATTTTAATTTAAAAAAAAAAANAAAAAAAAAAAAGATGGAATTCCCTTTCGTCTCGACTATATCGTAACTAATCTGTCGAAACAACGCGACACGATCGTCGAAATTATTGCCAAAATAGGAGCGTGCAAAGCCTCATCAACGATTCGTAGTCAATAAACGGGGACGGTCCTGGAAACTCCATTATAATTAACACGTCCATAATTTATGAACAATCCCCGGGGCAATCGAGTCCACTTGGTCCCCTCCGTTCTCAGCCCACTGGATACGTCGATATAAGTTGTCTTTCCGGATATTATACAATCTTTTGTCATCCCTTTGCTTCGTTTATCGAGATCCTTGGTTATTCGATATATATTTATATCTCTCGAGCAAAGGAATTTCTTTTTAACGAAGAGAGAGAGAGAGTTTTCATAGACAGTTTTAATTACGTTTAAATTAATTTAATTACGAAGATTTTCGATTAAATATATTTTAATTTGGAATTTCAAGAAAATAAAAGTTAAATTAACGATTCTAATAAAATATTAAGAGAAAAGAAATTTGCGGTAATCTCGATATGGAATTATCCTATATTATATATCGAGGGGAAATATTCGTCAGCTAAAATAAAAGTTCGATTAAATATATTTTAATTTGGAATTTCAAGAAAATAAAAGTTAAATTAACGATTCTAACAAAATATTAAGAGAAAAGAAATTTGCGGTAATCTCGATGCAGGATATGGAATTATCCTATATTATATATCGGGGGGAAATATTCGTCAGCTAAAATAAAAGTTCGATTAAATATATTTTAATTTTAATTATTTTAATAAATATATATTTTTTTTTATTTTAATATATTTTAAAATATTAAGAGAAAAGAAATTTGCGGTAATCTCGATGCAGGATATGGAATTCGGGGGGAAATATTCGTCAGCTTGCACTAGTCAACAATCCGTAAATCAAATTCCACGTTACGCCCCTCTGCTTCTCTTTGCCGCTCGCTTTCTTTCTTCCGATTTGTTAACATGTAATAAAATTTCCCTCTTCAGTTGCTGTTGAATTCCCTGGTTCAAACAGCGGGCCTCGATTGTACTTCTACGCGAGCTCGATTTACATCGCGTGCACCCTGGGAAAACAAATCCACTTCTAACGTACGGGCTTTTGCTCCCCGCCGAATTTTTGTTCCATTCCACGAAAATTTTTTTTCAATAGTCCTTCCACCCATACACAATCGTGTCGCGTTACTTTTCAAAGTTCAATGAAAATTTCTAGTTTCCAAATATACGTGAAAATGATGAAGAGGTGGAAGAGGTGAAAACAGGGATCGAGTGGTACATTCATTGCGTCACATACGAATAATAACTAAAAATGATTAAATTTTCTTATTTTTACTCGATATTCGTTCCAAATGTTAATTCGCAAATAATCTTCAAAATAAATATTATTATGTATTTATTCTCGCGATGTTTAGAAGTGAGTTTATTCTCTGTAGAATACGAGTTGAAATAATAATAAGAAAAATGGAAATCAGAATACAAAAATCGTAATAAATATATGAAAATTAATTTATCGATTGGAAACAAAGTTAATAATAGAGAACAGGAAAGAGGATTTCGAACAGAAAATTTAAATTTATTCTACAATTGATCTACTAGTCACATGATATATCGCAAACGTGACTTTCAATTTTTTTTCGGTCTCCTTGCTTCCCTGGTAGAAAAATCGCAATTTTTAGAGAACGAAATCAATTAACGTAGCTTGTAATCGATAGCATTCACACCGTTGGGGAAGCGTTTCCGGCAGGAGGAGCATCATGGAGGAATTAGTTTCCTCCGATGAAATACGGACCCGATATCCTCGATATTTATTTGTATTGTTTTTCTTATGGGTAAGAAACGAGCGAGCCAACTTTTTACGACAGTTTTCTCTCCGCCATAAAGTGAGGATATTACTTATT